AAAATTTTTAATAAAATTTGATGTTTAGATTATTGTGTCAATAATATCTATTTTATAGAATATTTTAATGTGTAGAGAGCCCAGTAGCCCTCGCCACTGAAATAAAGTAAAAAAGTTACTTGTCATCTGTAGATTGTTATTACATTTACCTCACCTAATATCGATTTTATTACCCTTTATATTCGTTAAATATTTAATATGATCAATATTTTCAAAAAATATTTTTTTTACCTTTGATTATCTTGAAAATAATAACAATAAAAATTGATAAAATGTGAGGAATCAAAATTTTTATTTTAGTTGAAACTAAAATATAAAAAATAAAATGAATTATTTTAAATAAACATTTTGCCTCTCCATTTTCTACACTATAAACCGTTCTGGCTACAATAAAAAAGAAAGAGGGAAAAAAATTTATAAAAAAAAGATTCAAAGATTGAAATTTTTTGGCAGGCGGGGGGGGGGAGGCTCTTTGAGGATGAAAACCAAAAAAAATAGCAGGGGGATTACGTTCCATGTAGTCATCCTCTCCTTAGACTATACGTTAAAATCTTTTAATTATTTTGGTCAAATATCTATAATACACTTTGATACTTTGAACAGTTATTAGAAGTATAAACTTTTTAAAAATATAATGATGGATAAAATTTTGTAATAGCATATTTTAATATTAAAAAATCGATAAAAACAGGCAAATAATTATAAAATTACTTATTTAATCTTTAACCATCAGTCAATTGATAATTTTGAATAAAAATATCAAAAAATATTTTTTTAATTATAATTATATCATTTTTTGAAAAAAATTTACCACTAGTGTGAGTTTATTAATTAAACACCCTAACAAAAATGAATGTTAATATTAGTGATCTATAAGGGGCTTAATTTTTAAGTCCAGCCTGGCGAATTTTTTTTTTTTTAAATTTGTTCTGCCCGGCCCTATCCCGAACAATTTTTTTTTTATTTATCTTGAAAAGCCCGACCTGAAATAAAATTATCTGCCCCCCCCCCCGAATTTATTTAAATAAAATTTATAAAAAATATCAGCCCCTTATTTTTTGCACTTTAAAAATCTAAAGACAACCTGGTCCGGCCAAAAATTTTTGAAATATAGGCCTGACCTAGCCTAAACTAAAATTCATTTTTATAAATTAACCCGGCCAGCAAACTTCCGGGCTGGGTTCGGGCCGAACCGTAATGTGCAGATCTCTAGTTAATATCTCGAAAACGGGTTTGACTAAACTGCGAATGCCTAGGTAAATTGCAAATGATTAGATAAAAATTTTCAATATATACTCTATTAATTGAAGTGAAATTCATTTTCTTATAATATAAATAACTTATAAAAATTAAATTATAAGATATATTTAATAATAAAGGAATATACATTAATAGTTGTATTTTCTTTTATCACATAATTAAATCTATTACTATAATTATATTAATAATAATTTAAATTACATATTAAATTTCAATAATATTAAATCCTCAAGTTGGCGTATTATTATTTTATGAACGAATTTAAAATTTTTTTTTGTTTTAATATATTTTAAAATCATATTATATTATTACTTAAGAAGGTGTTTGACTAAACTGCAAATGCCAAGGTATTATTTAATGAAATTTTTTAAAAATATGCCAACTTGCGGATATAATTTTATTGAAATTTAATATGTAATTTTAATTATAATTAATTTTAATCTAATTATATTGTAGGATTTAAACTATTTATTATGAGATAAAAAGAAATAGAACTATTAATGTATAATCTTTTATTATTGAATATATCGAATAATTTAATTTTTATACATTATTTATATCATAAGAAAATGAATCTTACTTTCAATGAATAGAGAATATAACAAATATTTTTACCTAATCATTTGTAGTTTACCTTGACATTTCCAGTTTACCTAGGCATTTGTAATTAATTCAAACCGCTCGAAACAATTTAATAAAATGGAGGAAACTTTGCAGACACATAACTTAGCTAAAATATTACTGAAAAAAACAAATCAAAATATTAACATGCTTTTTAGAGGTAAATTAAATTTAAGGTGTTGCTACCTCAGTTTATAACTCATGAGTGTCCTCATAATCAATAAATAAATTTTCTTTTTCAATTTTTTAATTACTCTTCCATAATAATTTATATTTGAGTCAATAATTTAACTATAATAATTCTTTATATCTTTATTGTAAATTCACATATTTAATATCAAAAAGTCTTTCAAAATATCATTTTAGTTTTTATAACATTGTCTTTTAAAATATAAAATGATTAAATTACATTATCTTTTCTAAAGTACGAATTTTGTTTCCTTATAATAAAAAAATGTAATATACATTCTCCTAGCTGCTCTTAAAAAAATTAATATCCCATCCACCCTGGAACCAATGGTTTCTCAAACGAAAACGCCATACGCCCCGATGGTATATCCCTCATTTCCTAAACTAATGGTCTCTCTTTTGCTTGGGACTATACATGTGTGATTCTGCAGCAAAGTCTAGCATTCGTTACCAATACCCTAGGCATGATTGAAAGTGAGACCCTCCATTTCAATAAAATCATAGGAAAAAAATTAGACAAATCTTATGTGGACCAAATGAAGGATTTTTCTTTCGTCGTCAAATTTTTCTTGAAATTTGCCGGTTCAATTTTTTAAGCATTCACTCTTTTCTGGGGTAATATATCCTTTTTTAATATTTTTTTTTCTTAGTTCCTTTTTATGTTTTTCTTCATAGATTATATACATATATTATTATATATTTTATATTTAATTTTTAATATATGATTATTTGTTTTTTAATATATATATTTTTAATTCAATAGTGTATGTTGTAATTAAAGTTATATTTTGTTATAAATTTCGATGTAATGTCAAGAATATGTCAATAAATTATTATTCGGATTTTGATGAAGATGAAATAAAAAATTCTTTTGTTCATTAAGTTACAAAAGATTTATTATTATAATAGCTTCTCTTTGTCACCGTTTATAATAGTGTATGTATTTAATTTTTGTAAAAAAGTTTTTAATATATATCTAAATTAAAATTCAAAATATAAACTAAAGTAAACTGAAGTGATTTAGTTCTTATTTAATAAAATAAATTATCAATTTTATTAGAGTAAATAAATAAGAAATAAAAATAAATAAGCCTTTAGGAAAAACAAGAAGAATCTAAAATAATTACAAAAATTTATAAATCTAAATATCAGCAGAATGAATGCTAATTTCGAACAGTTCCTGATAAATAAACGTGGTATTGAAAAAAGTTATTCAATTATTTAGACGTAGCGTATTTATTAATAATAAATGTACACATAAGAAAACTAAGAAAAACAAAAAGAACTCTAAAAAACAAAAATATATATTATTTCTTTATTTATATCAGAGACCTACAGGCCTGGCCCTAAACCCGGCCCGGCCCTAAGCCCGGCCGTATTTTAAATTTTTTAAATATACCCGGGCCGGGCCGGGCCGGGCCGGGCCTAAAAAAATTTTTTTTAAACATATCAGGGCCGGGCCTAAGATTGTTAAACCCGGGCCGGGCCTTAATATTTTTTATAAAAATTTTTACATTATGAGTTAATGGTTATAAAATTATATTATATTATAGTTATGATTAATATAATATTGGGTGATGGTTAACACTACCTAACACCCACAGATCGATCTAATTATTAATTTCCTGCAAATTTATTCAAATTATTAATATATTTTTTTATAACTCATATCTAATTTTTACAACATATTTTACCAAAACAATCAAATAAAGGAATATTTTAAATACGCCCCAATATTCAAGTATTATTAATATATTTTTTTATAATTCATATCTAAATTTTTAGAATATATTTTACCAAAACAATCAAATTAAGGAATATCACTTCTTGAAGTTTGTAATACCTCTCATAGCGAAATAGGAGAAATAAAATTGATTTTACTTAATATAATGCATTTTTTAATTGAAAAATTTGTTTTACACAAGTATCATTTTATTTCTCTTTTTCTCTGTCCCAAATTCAAGCAATTACGTATGTTGTCAGGGACAGATCGCAAAATGACGGAAAACGATTATATTAAATTACAAGAGGCTCAGGAAATAAATAAAATATCATCGACCAGTCAAATTACGACTGTTGTTAAACAAACTGAATCGTTTTATGACAAATGGGGCGATGGTAATTCTGGTAATATGTCAATACCCGATGATGAATATTATAATTACATAAATAAAAAAATAGATGAAACATTTAAGGTGGATAATTTGTTAGAGTGGTGGGCGGCTCACCAAAGCGAATTTCCAATTTTAGAAAAATTGGCAATTCCTGTTTCAAGTGCAAGCTGTGAGCGGAATTTTAAAAAATTCCGAGCCGGGCCTGAAATTTTTTTTAAAAAAAATATCCGGGCCGGGCCTTATATTTTTAACCCAGGCCGGGCAGGGCCTAAAAAATTTTTTTTTAAAAATATCCGGGCCGGGCCGGCCCTAAAAAATTTAAAACCGGGCCGGGCCGTGCAAATGGTACCTCTGCAGGTCTCTGATTTATATAAAGAAAATCTTATGCGAGATTTGAATAGCTCTGTATAATAAAACAAATAAAAAAAATATAAAATAAGTTAAATATTCAAATATACACTTTTCAAATAAAAAATTAGATATAAAATTAAAGAAAATTCAAAACATTTTTTTATTCATTAGTTCATAATTTTTGATCTGTAAATACATGCCCTACACAAGCCAGTATGGTCAAAACTCAAAAGCTGATACAAGAAATTTTTAACTAAAAGAGCACATGGGCTATAAAATATTCGAAATATTTACAATAATATATATTTTAGAATATTATATATGGCTGATATTTACTAAGTTTTATATTTCAAAAATTTAGTTATAAATATGGCTGTGATGATAGGTCAGCCGTTAGCACTATACAAATTTTATAAAATATAAAATTGTTTGCATTCATTAAAAACCCCGCGATAAACAAAAATGTTTAAATCATATGCTCTACCAATAAGTATAATTAAAAATTCTTTATTAATAAAAAAATGAGAATAGATGTCCAAAATTTAAAAATGAAGCTGTTAAATAATGTAATTAACGACTTTTATACATCAAATAGTGATAGACAATTAATTCATGGTGGAAATTTAGAAGTGTGATATTATTTTAAATATTAGATGATCAATGTTTATTTATAGATGTATTCATCACCTATAGTCTCTAAATTTCTTCCAGGTAAATAGAGACTTGAAAATTATAATAACTTATTTAGGTAAACCACATCTTTTAGCTATTGGGGATGAAGATGGATATTTTCATCTATATAACAATGACAAATTAAAAATGATTAAAAGTAATAGAATTTAAATTAATAATAAAAAAATTTTGTATTTTAGAAACCAGACTACATGAAAATTCAATATTTGATATTTGTTTTAAACCAAATGATAACTTTAAATATTTAACAGCTAGTGGTGACAAAGTGATTAAACTGTGGGACTTGAATTATGATGATAAATTTGTTGCATTTGAAGGCCATTATGGAAGTGTTAAATCTGTCAATTTTTGTTGGTGTGATAAAAGTTTTTATTTATTCATTTCAAATAATGTCAATAAATTTATTAAGATATTTTTGCATCAGGAGCCAGGGATGGTAGCATACGTATGTGGGATACAAGATATCCAATAAAAGGTAATTTTCATTGATATTATTTCTTGAATCTACCACATTATTTGATATTATTCCATTATGTGTTTTTTATGTGAAATTAGGTTTAATTTCTTAGAAATCTGTAATTTGAAATTAAAACACTTATAGATAAATATCATTTTTTTCTTATTTATTACTTTGATAAGTTTTTATCACAATATTTATACTAGACTGGGCCAATATTAAATATTGATCAAAATGGGAACAATAAAGTATTTTAAAACATATTGGATCAAGCCAATATTTTCAAAAAACCATATATAATCTTATATATTTATTGTTTATACATTATTTTTATTTTATATATAATTCATTAATGCATTATTAAAAGAAAAAAATTCAATTTATTTATAATGTTTAAAAAAACTAAAAGAATGGTATATTTTAGCCTACAAAACAGACTATGCAATAGTGTTGTTAAACAACTCATTTGCTGATTTTTAAAAACGGCTATTAGGAACAATATTATGCAAGCCTTAAGATTTTGCTCATAGGTAGCACAAAGGTTTGAACCTATTAATAAAATCTCGAGGCTTAGACAATATTTTTCTGGCGAAAATATTGAGTTAGCCATTTTTAAAAATCGGCTCAAATCGTGCCTTTTAACAACACTACTATGCCAGACCCTGATGTAGCCTTTTACAATTTTTTTTATAATTAAAAAATGGAAGATAAAATAAAAGGAATAAAAATGTAAAATATATAATAAAAAGTAATTTCAAACTCCTACTTAATGCTTACCATTTATCTTGTTTATAGTTAGAAAATGTCATATGTCATTTTTTTATTTCTGGAAGGGACACATCCCAAGATGACCTGATAGGAGAAGTCCAAAGATACCATACCTTAGACAGGACACATCCCATCTATCCCAAACTAACATTTTTGTTTTAATAATTTACTTATTACAAATAGATATTTTAATTATTTATCATATTAATTTAGAGCTATAATAAAATTTAATTATAGATTATGTGCAATGGAATATCCAGGATTTTGTTTTGGGACCCTTTAAGCATAATCTAAAATTTGCTAAAAAATAAAAATTCAATCTAAATTAACAAAAAAAGAAATCTAAATGTAAGATTTGAAAAAATAATTCTGGGGCCAGGTCAATTCTTAAAACAGGTCCCCTAAATACTTTACTGATAATATTGTTGGGGTAATTCCATACAAAATCGATAACTTTTCGGCTCAACCTTTTTAACGATAAAATTTTGTATACTGAGAGAATATCATTAGAAAGCATCGAATCCAAAATTTTAGCTTCCTAGTACTCATAGTTCCTGAGATATGAATGGTCAAAAGTGCCAAAAATGACGTTTTTTCGAAAAATGCGATTTTTTAAAATTAAGATAAGTTAAAAAATAATGATTTTAAAAATATAAGTTATATGTCAATTTATAACTCTATTAAGGGCCTTTTATTGGATATTAAAAATTTTTTCAAAATAATATTGTTGCGATTTTTATTTAAGTTATAAATTTTAAACATGAAAACTCCAAGTGTTTCGCTTTCCAAATTTTTTTGAATTTAATATTTTCTTATTCTCTAACCTTATATCTATTCATAAAAAAAATTTAAACTTGGGACAGCCATGGGTTTTTAGTTATTGCGATTTAAAAAATCAAAAAATAAATATTATTTTCAAAAATAGATGGGGCTCCTTTATAAAATAACGCGTTTTGTTAAAATTATTATTTTTTTTAAACTTTTTTCCATTTTAAACATAAATAATAAGGTTTTCCAGCATTAATAATTTTAAATTTCGTAAAATTATTTTATTAATTTGTAAATATAATAGATAAATAAAAATTCATGAAAGATATTACTTAATTAATAAATTCGTCTGAAGATTGAGAAATAGTCTCCAGAGTTGTTCTATCTACCGAAACCCATTGTTTAAACGTAATAAGAGCTATATCATTTTTTATAAATAATTTTTCAATGCGTTCTTTTAAGAGTGTCGAGCCAGGACACTCGCTACAGTCACCAAAATAACAGGTTGGTAATGGGAGGTTGCAAATCATTCTGCCTATAACATCTCTATAAGTTGTTAATATATCCTCACCATTTTTAGTCAATGTTGCTAATTCACAGCCTAAAATCATTAGTTAATATTCTGGTGTATGCTACAAACGCATACACTATGTGTTCCGATAGCCCCTGCCAATATGCAATTTTTTGGTCTTAAGCTTGCGAATTTCGAAAATCCAATTGTTATGCTTGAATTACTCTCCTTAAAATGACTATATAATTCTTTTAAATTATTAAGAACTAGCCTTTTTTGAGCGTTCACTCGTTCCCCCTTTTCAATGATAGATAAGCAATCTTTTTTTCCTGGTAATACCCTACTAACTTTATCACTGCAAAAAAAAACTTTTAACAATATCAACTGTTTTGATTGAGATATTTTGCAGGCTTTCGATTTGGAGTTGAAAGAATCCCCTTTTCTTTTAAAATGATTTTGGAATTATATGCCATATGATATGTAGCGTTGAATTCCGTTTTTATTTTATTTGCACTCCAATTAGGAGGCAGAATGGTCAGCAATTGATATTTTTTTATTTTTAGATAAATTAGGATAATGTAATTTCATATTGTTGAGTATATCATTATTGTCTTTTGTGTCCGATTCTGGATTGTTAATTATTATATCTGAAAGAGCTTTTGATATTTTTGCTATCTTTTTTTTTGGATAATTTTTTTCAGCTAGTTTTTTTTTCTTAATAGGAGATATTCCAATTTCGTTTAAGGTTTAATTGATTGTATCTATTGATGCGGATGCTGTGGGGATATTATTTACATATTCGCTATCAGAATTTATATTTTCAATATTTTTTTGTGATAAACGCTTACGACATTTATCACAAATATAGTGTTCCGCCTCAATGTTTGGAAATTGTGTCATCCACGTCGTAACTTTACGCAGGTTCTTTTTACAATAAAAGTGTTTAGATTCTTTAAAAGGATTTGCACATTTATATTTATACATAAATAATTTTAAGAAAAAATTAATATTGAAATATTTGTAAAATAAAAATTAATTAATATCAAGGCAGGTGCATGAAAACTTGTTATTATCTTTCAGAAATTAATTATATTTTCTTATATAGGAATTGTAACTATCTTTTTAGGAAATTAATCATTTATTATAAAAACTAATAATTTTTACAAGTTATCAATAAAGTAATAATAATAATAAGTAAGTCTATCAATTGATCTAAATAATATATTTTCATAATATTAATGCTGGAAAATCTTATTATTTATGTTTAAAATGGAAAAAAGTTTAAAAAAAATAATAATTTTAACAAAACGCGTTATTTTATATATGAGCGCCATCTATTTTTGAAAATATTATTTATTTTTTGATTTTTTAAATCGCAATAACTAAAAAACCCATGGCTGTCCCAAGTTTAAATTTTTTTTATGAATAGATATAAGGTTAGAGAATAAGAAAATATTAAATTCAAAAAAATTTGGAAAGCGAAACACTTGGAGTTTTTATGTTTAAAATTTATAACTTAAATAAAAACCGCAACAATATTATATTGAAAAAAATTTTAATATTCAATAAAAGACCCTTAATAGAGTTATAAATTGACATATAACTTATATTTTTAAAATCATTATTGCTGAAAAAGATTATAAGTCATTTTTTAAATAAACCAAGATAATGAATATATTTAGCTTTATTTGGCTGGATATGATACAAGTCTGTTTTTCCTCTACTTTTATATTACTTTCAACAAACTACCAAAAAGGTCTCATGTTTTGAATTACCATATAAATCTAATTTCTTTTTTTTAAATCGGATATATCATCCATTTTAAAAATGCTAGACCATATTTTTTTAAAAAATCTGTAAATAAATTATACCAATTTCTTGATAAAGGTTCAGAGATATTTCACTGAACCAGAACCCAAACCTGGACACTTTTTTAGAAGGAGGGTTCACAGCCCTGGATACAATACCCATTTAATATTTTTAAGGTAATTAATACTTATCAAAAATAATTTAAGATCCTAGATGGGACACATCTAAAAAAGTTTATATAGAGGGAGAATTTCCTGCCCCTTGACCTATTTTTTTTACCTACCTTATTTATGGCACTTTGATGTTAGATGGCCTTTGTACAATTAACAATGGAGAAATGATGTCTGTTACATTTTCTTGAGAATATGAATTTGTATTAACTAGGGTATCGATATCAGGGAAAGATCCCATTCTTTCTTCGTATATTGAGAAGTCAAGTAGAAGCTTCATGTTTATGTTCATCAAAGAATAAAAATGCTATCAAATCGATTATTTCAGAAAATTAGTTAAAAAATATTATGCTATTATTGGAAATTCTTGCAGATATTTACCCCAAAAGAAATTTTATATGAGGAGAGAAAATTCCAATCTTATAATTTGAAAATATGGACTAAGGCCAAGTTTGGTATAAATAATTTTTCCAAGTAAAAAAGTTCCAATTATATCAAGAGCCACTAGGAGGCTCCCACCAAGAATTCATCATTGAAATATCGTTTTTGATTTTATCACCATATTTTCAATCATTAATATTTATTCCATGCACAAAGTTTTTTGGAATATTTTTTTAAATAAATGAAAATGCAAAAATAGTGGAAACATTAGAACGGAGAAATACTAAGAGATATATGGGTCTGAAATTAAAACGCTAAAGCCTATAATAATTGAATAATAAGCGTTGATACCATTGCAGATGGGCCTTCATGACCCATGGATAAATATATATCTTTTTTAATAATAAAATTGGTATTTTAAAAAATATATTTTGCAGAGGAAGAAATAAAAACTAGCCGAAAACCGTAGAGAAGAGACGTCCATTTAATTCAATCTTATATTTTTCATCGCTTTATATGGTCTAACTTTCCTTTGATTATTTTGATAGAAAATCAATTTTAAAAAAATGCATTCTGCAGCATAAACTTATAATAACATTTTATGACATTAA